ATCGAACCCGGGCCTCCGGCGTGACGAGCGAACGCTCTAACCACTAGGCTACCTCACCACCCCAGTGTGAGTGAGTGAATGCATTTAAACTGAAGATCGGCGAGTTTGGACTAGACCAGCAAGTCGCCATCGGGTCACGTGGGACTTACCGTACATCCGGGTCCACTTCCACAAAGCGATCGTACCACTGAGACTATCGTAATCTCCATACATAGTCGTAGCATAACATCTCTTTGGTCATCACACGGGTCGTCCAAACATATGTATACATGTATAGTCACATACATACTGATGCCATGTTATATCCCCTTGGCAATTTGTGGGCAGATTAGGTCCACTGAATCTGCTGCTGAAAGTGAGAGCCACCTATTATGACTACTTTGAAGTCACAGTGTGGCGGCACCAATAATATGTCATCGTGCCCCGTCTGAGTGGACAGACTACAAATGTGCCCATCCCAGTGTTTTGCTTGTTTGTTGTTTAAAGCTGCACTCAGCAATATTCCAGCAAAATGGCGGCGGTCTGTAAATAATCGATTCTGGACCAGACAATCCAGTGATCAACAACATAAGCATCAATATACGCATTTGGCATACGATGACATGTGTCAACCAAGTCCACCCGATACCGTCGGTTGCCTCTTACGACGAGCATGGGTTGCTGAAGACCAATTCTAACCCGGATGTTCACGCTTTCCCATCCCAGACTCCATTCTTTAAAGGCGCCCGTGATGCAGTAAATATGGCTGGCTGGGTGGTCATACAACCACATTCTCTGACTCACTAAATGGTACATGCGCATCCCACAGGTTGTCAGGGTGGTTAAAGCTGAAAATGTATTTTTTAATATCTACATCCTCTTCATGAGTATGCAATATGTGTTACAATTAATACATATACACATGTAAAACATGGGTTGACGAGCCGTGGCGCACGTCGGGAGATACAGACATACTTACTATTCAGAAAAGGTCGATCAATAAGTTTAAAACAAAGGCAAAAGGTCCAGAAAGGACAAAAAGAGATAAGTCAGATAGGTAACCTGACAAACTGAACTGAAATGACAGAAATTTAGATTTGAGAATATTTATCAACACGGTGCGTCCCTTATGACCTCAGGCTACATTCAGTTGTAGCTTTGACTGTCTATGTACGTGAAGGCATGACATTGCCGTATATTACGGTTTGACCCGTATGGCCTAAATTCAGCCGTACCTTTCAATGTCTATGCACGTCAAGGTATGACATCGGTGAAACAGCTGCAGCTTTGATTGTTATGACACAGGTATGACCTCGCGTCACTATGACACACAGTCAACACACACCGTGACCACCTGGTCCTGATTGAGTCGAATCTGCATAATGTACATGTGACCAGTCCATCACCGAGGTCCATCGGAAGCATATCTACATGAAGTGAAAATACGACTCATGAGGGTCAATGCAGTTATGTTCCTTCTTGGAAGAATATGTCTTCACGAGGACATGAGATAATTGAGTTCCGAATGTACATACGTTACATGTACTTCGTGTTAGACGGACATGTTATTTTCCAATTAAAGCAGTGCCATTATATATTCACACAATCTGTGGTTACTGAGGGGCTTGTCATCTACACCCATAAGGGACTATCATCAAAGGAATACTTCTTCTGGTACAAATCAAACTTACCGATCTGAGGAGGCAAAAATTAGTTTAGCCGAATATTTTTTTTAAAGATTGACAGCTACAGGCATTCTTTCAGACTGGGTTCATTCAAATGTAGGTAACAGGGAACTGATCGATCAGCCATATAGTTTGTTCTTTTCAGTTGCCTATCTTCTGACTGATGCTTCTGTGGAGAGGATGTCTGTGATGGGGGACACCTTCTGATGTCTGATGATGGGAGGACACCTTCTGTGGAGAGGATGTCTGACATTGATGGGAGGACACCCTTCTGTGAAAGGGATATTTGACTGATGGGAGGACACCCTTCTGTGGAGGGGATGTCTGATTGATGGGAAGACACCTTCTGTGGAGGGGACATCTGAGTGATGAGAGGACACCTTCTGCGGAGGGGACATCTGACTGATGGGAGGACACCCTTCTGTGAAAGGGATATTTGACTGATGGGAGGACACCCTTCTGTGGAAGGGATATTTGACTGATGGGAGGGGCACCTTCTGTGGAGGGGACATCTAACTGATGAGAGGACACCCTTATTTGGAGGGGACATCTGATTGATGGGAGGACACCCTTCTGTGGACACATCTGACTGATGGGAGGACACCCTTCTGTGGAGGGGACATCTAACTAATGGGAGGACACCCTTCTGTGGAGGGGACATCTGATTGATGGGAGGACACCTTCTGTGGAGTGGATATCTGACTGATGGGAGGTCACCCTTCTGTGGATGGGACATCAGACTGATGGGAGGACACCTTCTGTGGAGGGGACATCTGATTGATGGGAGGACACCTTCTGTGGAAGGGACATCTGAGTGATGCGAGGACACCCTTCTGCGGAGGGGACATCTGACTGATGGGAGGACACCCTTCTGTGAAAGGGGTATTTGACTGATGGGAGGGACACCTTCTGTGGAGGGGACATCTAACTGATGAGAGGACACCCTTATTTGGAGGGGACATCTAACTGATGGGAGGACACCCTTCTGCGGAGGGGACATCTGATTGATGGGAGGACACCCTTCTGTGGAGGGGACATCTGATTGATGGGAGGACACCCTTCTGTGGAGGGGACATGAAGGGCGTGTGCTGTATTTTTATTGAAGGGCGTGTGCTGTATTTTTATTGAAGGGCGTGTGCTGGACTTTCATTGAAGGACGTGTGCTGTACTTATATTGAAGGGCGACTGTTGTTTTATTAAAGGGTGTGTGTAGGGAGCGTACATTACTATCATCAAACATATATACGATTCAAGTTTATTCACAAGAAGATTACATATTGTGATTAGCAAAACCTGAATTTTATTCAGAAGAACATACATATCGATAATATTTTTCAGTCTGTAGAGAAAAGATAAAATATCAGAAGAGACAGAAACCACAATTTCAACGGGCCTATCTCTTCTACCATATTATGATATGCATTTATACCCTGCCTTGTGCATGGGGTAACTGCTCCAGGTCAGGAAACTATGACGATGGGTTGAATATTCCATCTCTTACTTTCTCATACCTATTCATGTATGTATTCCATTACTTAGGCAGATATTCCAAAGTCTTTTAATCACACCTTGGTTGATTTCTCAGAATTCATGAGTTCACTTCTGGGAGTTGCGTTACAGAAGCTCGTACGTTTATCATCTCATATGGCAAATTCCTGTGCGACTCAGTCCGTGGCCTCGATCAATATGACAGAGAGAGGGATCCACTGCATGCGTATCGTAATGCAGAGTCATGAATACTTACATCTGGAAATCAATTGAACTCCGGGTATTAGAACGTCTTGCTTATGTTTGTATTTGCCATGATCTTTCTTGAATGGGTTTGCCAGTGTTGAGTGTTTACTGTGCTCCACGTTAGCACTGAACTGCCCACATATGTTTAGATATTGCTGTGATCGATCCCCATGCGGACTTGACCTGTGTGTATATATTTAGTTATGGTCGTCGTTAGTACTGTACTCAGTTGGCCTTCTGTTTAGATTTTTAAACTCTTAGTAGAATTGGTTCTGTGTTATGTTATTTATTTATTTTTTATTATAAGGATTCGTACCGAGTTGGCCTTGTGTGTTTTAGATGTTTTAGATAGTGTTCTTTGTGGGGTGTTGGGCTCGCATATTCTGATATATTTTGATCGATCCTTGTGCTCAGAAGGCGATGCATGTGTACTTTTATACAGTTATGATTGTCATGAGTTCCGATTTGGTCTCAAGTGTTAAGGCCTTGCTATGGTCTATGGTCTTCCTATGATCAATATCAGTGCTGACATTGCTGTGTATTTAGACATGACATTGAGTTATGATCATCGTAAGTTCCGATTTGGTCTTAGGTGTCAAGTTCTTGCTGTGGTGTATATACGTACTGACATTGCTGTGTGTATTTAGACATTACAATCATTCTAAGTAGGGAGGTGGCCGTGTGCAAGCCGACATGACCTTCTGGGTCATGGTGAGTGAGTGAGTGAGTTTATATTTACGGCGGACTCAGCAGTATTCCAGCTATATGGCGGCGGTCTGTTAATAATAGAGTCTGGACCAGACAATCCAGTGATCAACAGCATGACCATCGATTATGGTCCACATATAAAAAGCGACCTGAGCGCGACTCATATCGTAAATCTATGTTACAAAAAGTCACGCTCATCGTAGCACTAAGATCACTTCGTGTGAGAGGTCCTGTGTCGTGTGAATTAAATAAACATGCTCAAACTCGATATCAGGTTAAGACACCAAATTTCTCAATATCAATATTTTGTAACAATCCTGTATTTATGGACACGATAAACAACCCAGTCTAAAGGTGTACTGAGACCGATTTGTGTGAATGTAAGACAGTTCATGGCATGTTCACCCAAGAGAGAAGGGCTCCAGACATTGTTCCAAATTAAATTGAATCAAAGTCTTCTGCACGACAAATAAACCTAACCACACAGCATGAACCATAACCAATAGGTTACACAATCCTATTAATACGTCTCTATTACAACCATAATGTCTTCCCTCCCGCTTGACCCTTACTGTAATGCTATAGTCTAACATAAAGCAAGTCTACATTTCTAAAAACTCATCTCACAGGGGCTCCTTATCAGTTACAATGGCGTGTTTTATTTTTATCAAAATTATGTTTACTGCTTAATCTATATCTGACCTTCACCATGAAATTCAAGGTTCACATAACACAAGTGTCATATTATTTACCTTGTAATGAGGTAGATCTGTAGTCTGCACCAAGGTAGAGCGGCTGTTTCAATTTATAATCTTGGCCATAATTTCATTTCAAATAAATACTTAATTCTGTATGTTATTTGCAGGAATAGTAAACAAAATTCCACATAACACATTTTCACATGTATCTGTATTTATTTCCTTAGTTCAACTTCTGTTGGATTCGGTGGATTTTTACATGGAACAAAGTTTACAGCTAATTTGTACAAATATGCACTTCAATATGGTGAAATATATACACTATGCATTTAGGTGACATCAGAACTGCTAATACGTTGCTAAAATACATTCTGGATCCTATCTTGGTAATAGGTGTTATAAAATAAAAATAAACAATTACAACAACTCACACATGGATATATTTTGATGTATTAATAGGAAATGTGGTACATGTCGAAAAGGTCCAACCAGTAGCTTCTAAGGTGAAAACATGATAGAAGAACAAAAGATTTGATGATTTAATTCATGGAAAATAATGTGTTCAAATTGAAGAATATTACTAAGGTGTATTGTTGCTGTAAATGTAAATCATTTATTCTACAGTATGACTGAGGGAACATAAACACTTTTCCCTCCATATACTTTCAGAATTACCAGGAATTATACCAATACATTTATCTAAGTTTTAATCCCTTTTTTGATGTTGAGTTGTTGTTACAAGCATGATCTTATAAAAGAACATATTTCTTCTGAAATAAACTAGATGGGGATATTTCTATTTAATTAGTGACACACCAAAATGAATCTTAAAAATGTATACTGAAATATATTTGACTATACAACAGAGACAGAGTGAGTTTACCCATTTGGACTCTGATAAATCATACACTACTCCAGAACTTAAGGACCACCTGATAGTTACATATTCCTGTAGTCAATCTGTCATGCCACGACTGATTAACCATAGCACTATGACAAAATCAGATGGCCCTGACAAGCAAATGGGTGTTTCATCCCTTTGAAAATAAATGTCTGGGACTGCTCTTCAGCCTGAACTGAATCCCTCTTTAAAGTAAGATCATGCCTGAACACCACAGAAACAGAAATGTAATGTTATTGTAATACTTAACATTGAGTCATCCATATATACTAGGTTAAAAGGTGAAATAATTTTGTTTTTATTGAGAGGTCTTAAACTTTGTAAATACTGTTTTACATCAAGCAAGTTTCATAACACATTTGTTTATTTGAGAGGAGAAACTTGGCTGCAACTTCGGCCAACATTAAAAGAAATACATAAGGGCTTAAATGCAACTAATTTCACACCATAACACTTTAAAATATGAGTTAAATCTATAACGTTTTAAAGTGCACTGTTATCACAGTAGTGGTTGAGACAATGTGAGTGACCTTAGGGCATGAAACCAGCAGGAAGTCAAGTCTATACTGTTTGTGTAGAGCTCTAAAGAAAGAGACAGCAAAAAACACACTACGACTCCGTGACATGTTATAACATGACGCCATGCTGTGTCACACACACTATGGAACACTAGTGACTACATGACATGGCCACCATGGGAACATGGCATTGTCCAACTCTGAAGTCACAGGAGAAGAGTTATGTAAAAGAAACTAAACTGGGTTGCGTGTTATACACACTGTAATAGCATGTACAAGATCTGTGTCTGTTTGAGAAATTATATAAAAATGAATTTTATGCCCTAACAACTGAAATAAAAATCCACAGACAATGATGGTCTTAATATCTTTAATTGGTTGCTATACATGAACAAATTTCTCCCAAATTCTGTTCCACAAGAATGGAATTCCCTGTTTCCATGGTTACGTCCATCTGGACAGAAAATGAGAAGAAAGACCAGGGACTTGTGTTAATGTTTATCATTTGAGTAGAAGTGCTAAATCATCACATTACTGCCCATGCAGTTCTCACCTTTAACAGATAAACAAGTTTGAAAAATCTCTAGGGTGCTGTTCAAAAAAAAGTTTATACAGACATTGTAAAAGGTTGAATATGTAACAGAGGCTTTTTCAGCAAGACCTACACATATACTTCATATATATATTTATATACTTATATCTACAGTCACGACATCTATTCACAATATGAAGAAGTTACCAAAAGAAAGAAGCCTGATAGTGTATGTATGTGCACTTAGACAATTCATATACATATCTTACATACATACGACTGAGTGGAAATCGGATGAGAATTCTCCACAAGAAATAATTAACAATGAAAAATGCTTAAGAAGTAACGTGCATTACTAATTCCAACATACTTCAGAGCATTACACAGCTGCGAATACATTTAGTTCATGATACGACCACCAGGGTCTGTTATCAGTATGCTCCATTGTGACAACATAACAATTAGTTACGTGATTCTCTTGTTAAACACAATTTCTCTGTACACTTTGATACTGTGTAGCATAACAAAAAGGGAACACAATCACTGAAATCGTCAGTAACTCAGCTGCACTAAGTCCATTTTCTGCATCAAATCCAAATGAAAGAAAATAAATTGTAAAAAGACTATCATGCAATTTACCTAAATTTGCCTCGGGAAGACAATGCTTTCCGAGACATGTGAGAGTGTCAGTTTCGCCGTCCTCGTCTACTGACTGGACAAAGTCGTAGCTGAGATGAGTCCAGTGTCCCAAACAAGGGTGTTAGGTTATTGTAAGTTCACTCAGATCTCATAATGAGCTGTTCCCAATATGAAAGACTCCAGTTTGGCCACATGGCCAAGTCCACTTCCATAGTCCTATAGATATACCCTCTGGCATCCCAAGGGACCACACAAAGTCTGTATGTGATTCTTCCCTCACACCAAGCCTCACAAGTGAGGCCCTTATCAGCATAGCACTGATCACCATCACAGACATACTCCAACCCTTTTCACGAATGAAAAAAATTGCATATTAATACTCCAGTCATGACTTGTTTGATAACAATACAGTTACGATGAACGACAACCCAGCAACTTGATCATCCCGCGATGTACTGGCATCCGATTCCATCTGACCAGGACACCTTGCACAGATCGCCATATCCAGTCAATCCATACAGAATCAGTGAGCAAATAATATCGTAAAAGGTTGATGCATATGGTTGTCTTTGTGTTAGAGATGAATGAATGCAGTGTACGCTCCTCTTGAATAGTGGTGTGATGTTGAGTACAGAAAATCACATTCTAAAACTGTCATTTTCGGGACATTAAGAAAAAGTGTTTCTAATTCCACTATCGTCTAGATACGATGAGAAATTTGCACAATTTAATTCCCATGGAATCAAGCCTTCATCACAGATATTTGATTCAACATATTTTTCCTTTTCACTCGTACAATATTAAACTGTCCCCACGTACATCGAGTATGTTTTGGAGTTTAAAAAATAACGTCACAATATATTAGATCTGAATCAAGGTAAATGTCATATTAAAGTCTGTCAAATTATGTCAGTTATCAAATGAAAGCCTCAATGAACATGTCATGTGCTAGCTACCACTGACCATGTCAATGTATCTTATTGATTTTTAGTCTCTTCCTCTGCTTAAAAGAGTGGAACCACTATGCAGAATTTAGTTGATTCAATATTTGATTTCCTGTGATATGCAAATTTTGATGGTTTTGTTGTCCGGCGTCCATTTTTGCCAGATGAAAGGGAAAAACCTTAGCCAGTGGTGGAGACAGGAACTGGATGCCAAAGATATTGTGGGTACTGGCGGCCGGCCACCAGCTGATAGCTGATAGTTAAAGTATAACACAACAGTTGCTGCAGCCACTCTCCCCACTCTTGTCCTTCTTTAACTGGCCTGAAACAAACAAACAAACTTGTTATCAAACAAGTGAAGGTGGTGACAAGGTTTGTTATTATATTCAAAATCAGGGTCACAAACACAATACCTTCTATAGTGCTGACATGGTATTTTATTATATTCAAAATCAGGGTCACAAACACAATACCTTCTATAGTGCTGACATGGTATTTTATTATATTCAAAATCAGGGTCACAAACACAATACCTTCTATAGTGCTGACATGGTATTTTATTATATTCAAAATCAGGGTCACAAACACAATACCTTCTATAGTGTTTAACTGTGTGGTTTTTTTGGTTTTTGTTTCTGTGTTTGGTTGTTTGTTTTTGTGTTTGTTTGTTTGTTTGTTTTGGGTGTTTTTTTTTGTTTTGTGTGTGTGTGTGTTCTAACATGTCACACAGCAACATTCAGGTGAAGGACAGTACAGGCACTCCAGTGACAGATACTGATGATCAATCCTTAAAATCACTGCCATTGTGTTTGGGATGTGTTGACACGCCCAAAGTTCCCAATCCGGTCTACCCCAGGAATTTTGGTCACCTCCTGCGACAAGCATAGGTTGATGGGGTAAATAGGTGTTCTCATAATGACGATTGAAAACCAAGGCATTTTGTGATTTTCAGAATTGTCAATTTCTCTATTCACAACACCCTCAATGATGGTAATCAGTTTTCACACTTGAAGTGCCAGTTTATACACAGAGAAACAAATAAAGGATCACATGAAAATTCAAGTGTTCCTTTAATATTTTCCAGTTTTTATCACTAGCTTTGAATAACGCTGTGGGAGAAAATGTGAGAAACAAATGTAGGAACACTGCCATGAAGTGGTGTTCCCTTATTTGTTTCTCTCAGTATATATTGTAGTGGAAATTGGTCAGATGGCTGCAACACAATTAGAATTTAACTCACAATAGATAAGATATCCCACTAAAGAAACAATTCATAGTTGTCATCATTGTCATAAAAGTGACCACTTTAACAAATAATGACACTAACTACTTATCCATGGCCAGATCTTCCTGCATAGAAAGCTTGTCAGAACCACCCATGTAAATATTATAATCTACAGGAAATGATAAAACAAGATCAAAGTTACTTGAAGTAGGCTTTTGAAATATAAAAGTATATGACACAGATTTTGATGTAGTCAGGAAGGACAAACAACCTGAAGATACCAATACACAAAATGAGGAATACAATAATGTAAATTTTACTTATCGGAATAGTGATAAAAACGAGTAATGTCCCCCAAAATGTTTGAAATTCTAATAGCTCTTATATATTTTTAACATCAACAAAACTAGTCCAGGCTTGCACTAATTTCTATCCTTGCAAACAGATTTATTAATTTTTAGCAGAAGGCAGACTATTCCAACAATATAGTCACAAAGTCTGGCTTTCACAAATGTAATCATTGTTAAAACAGCTGGAGTAAAAAGACTTCAAGGACATCCAAGATATCATTTTTATGCTTGTGTACCTAGGCAAACCTCAACTCATTAAATTCTGTAAAGAAAACCATCATTTTCTACATTAAACATAATTCTATCAAACAATAAACATTAAATCACACTGTGACAATGAAACTCGCCTCTTCTGTATAATGTCTTCATCCATCTATTATAATGATGATTTACCTGATTATCTTATGTATGGAGCTGCTACAACAGATAGGCCTTAAGCAGTGTTGCCATGGCACACGTCTGATGTAACAACATACGGTAATAAGACATAATTCCTCCATCATCGGCAATAATCAATACAAATAATCACATGCACAGACAAATTAACGTTATTGTATTTCTCAAATTTCCTGTAGTTTATCCCCAAATCGAAGAAAAACTGACATCAGGGAAATCCAGCCTGATCAGAATTCCAAATCCTTCAGAGCTAAAACAGATAACATAAATGTATTTGTTCTGGAGCAGAAATTGATTTTGGTGAAAAAATATTCGAAGAAGGCAATCTCATTTCAAAAGCTGCTAGCGTCACGGTGCATGACATTTCTCAACCTCGCTGCTCATCGCAAACAGCACCGTCATCCCCTGCTACACCATGAGTTAATAATGCCTTTACCAATACCAGCCAGTACCATACACTGATGTGGTGTAGTGACCCAGCCTCTTTGGGTCCATCACTGCGCGGGGTATTCCATGCAATCATCTTAATGTAACCATTAATGTCTCATGAATTTGGTTTTGTAGAAATGGTATGAATAACAAGGAACTGAAACACTGTCAGACTTTTACCATTTGTGTCTGATCATTTACATGATAACATTGTCAAAATCGCTTTAGAAGTCAAGGGAAAGAAGGCATCAGTGTGTTTCAAACATTATTTTTTTTGTACGATTTGTTATTTAGAAAGAAAATGCATTTTTGATAGGTCTGAAGTAGCACTTGACATAAAAAGAATTCAATTCAAAATGAATTGCATGTTTTGAACTCTTCACAGTTGTACATGGTGCAAAAATATCTAAATGTTGAAAGTAGCCGACACAGTTGATTCACACCAACAAAGAACCTGAGGCAATGTAAGCTTGATTGTTTGGTCTATGGAAGTAGGGAATACTGAGAGGTGGATACAGGAATTATTGTACAGGGGTTGGAAATGATGACAGAAGGGGAGTGTTTAGTATCCAAATCAGATTGAAACTTTGATAAATGGGATAACCAATTATGTTTCAATGTGTATAAATCACAGAAAAATATGTGTATTTTGTGAGATTAGCTAATCTCCAAAGATGTTTCTATAGATGTCAGAACTGCAGAAGTTGGACAAACGTTAAGTCCAGATGGGCTAATTCCACTTCTTTCTCTCAGCACCAGTTTAACAATACATTAAATTTATCAGAAATGACTGTACATATAAATGTCCACAAAATCAATCAATGCTCTCCAAACAGAATGGATTTCAATCTCTTGTCAATGCTTTCACAAACAGATTGCAAATGTTCATGGTTCAATAATTCATCCAAAACTGCCAATATCTTCAACCCAGTAGGCAGTAGTCACAGTGCACATACAGATCACAACTATTTATAGGCCTAACATAACTACATCAATAGGGGACAAGACTACTGGCCACTGATTGAAGGGGATGCTATTCCATATCAAGACAGCTGATGATGATATTCAACCACTCCATGACGGCTAGTCAGTAAACTAGGTCAGATATCCTAATCCAACTCCTGCAGTTAAACCAAATCAATCCCGATCACAATCCTGATCACGGGGTTTTAACTTCCCGCAACAATCTATTACTTTAATGTCAAATGCCGACATCCACATTTCTGTCATTTATTTCCCCTGATCATAATCTCTGATTAGGCAAACGAAAGTAATAACAATGAACATGGACGTGGACGTGTAGCAGGGAGTGTAATGTGGAATAGGATTACCATATTCTGGAACAAAATAGAGTATTTTCTCACAATGTAGTGTCTGAAATCATCAGATGTTATTTCACCTGGTATATATAAGAATTTTTAACTGTAGGCACAAGGCCCAGGTCTTGGAAAGTTCTGTTCGCTATAGCAGGGATTTACCTCGACTCCTACATTTGAGGGTCCCTGGAACTCACACTATTATTTTCAGAGGTCCTGGACTACAAAATGGGGTTATTAATAGTATGTTGTAATATTGTTGTAATTCAATTACTGTTACTGTATTGTGCATCGCGATCATCACATTAATTACAGCAATTAAATTGCAAATGATACCATAACCTGGTTAGTAGCAGACTCAGTGATAACTTATTGTTACTTGATTGAAATTTTTACAAAAAGTATTTGAACTTTTTCTGCGGCCCTGTGGACGCACATATAAATTTCGTTGCATCCATTGTCAATTTTTATGCGTATAGGACGCAGGAATTCCCGTCCCATAAATCCCTGCTATAGTAGGCTCCGCTGGTAAGGCTGAGGACTATAATGCACCGAAATTGATGACAAGGACAAGTTGGGGCAATCTGACTCTCGCCTGTTTGACACAACAGTAAATCTCTTGCAGTTTTATTATTTCACTTTACTACTATGGGGAAAACAGGTTCTGATAACCACTAACTGAAACATATGACTCAATATATGAAATAATGTGGATGCTTCTTCCATATTCCTGTCCTGTTCATACTATACATGAACCAACATGGCAAATGTTGATCCTGGAATGTTTCTCAAGAAACGGACTAACTCAAATACATGTAGAACACATATATGCTTATCTAAGATTCGTGAAAGGATTGATTTCAAGATTTTCTGCCTCACCTATCAGTCTTTCTACAACTCAGGACGTCCTACCTTCAAGACCTTCTGACACAATACTCTCCAGAAAGAACTCTGCGCTCATCACAACAACTGTTACTTGCTGTCCCGAGCTACAATCTCAAACCATTTGGCTCAAGAACCTTTTCATATGCAGCAGCTTCTCTGTGGAACTCTCTCCCTATCGAGTTAAAATCATCTCCTTCCCTAAGTACATTCAAAACACGACTAAAGACTCATCTATTTCTCCGCTACAAGTGACTTCCAATCATCCGTACCTGCCAGCCGTATATAGTTTTAACTTGAGCTCAGGATGCGCTTTGAGCATATCCCTGTGACGTGGAAAGGCGCTATATAAATGGCCATTATTATTATTATTATTATCTTATCTCAAGCTTGAAACCCTGACTGTAGGATACTTTCCACTTTGCCATGAAACTGCACACCATTGGACTATTACTGAATAAAATATTAATCATCATTAACTAGGAAAATATGAAAACATGATTATAAATGTGTTACATAACAGACAAAGCCCATAATCAGCTATAGTATTTATAATAAATTGATTTCTTTTAAAACCAAAGTACAGTATGCCCATATTTGTAATGACAGTTGCTTGATTAAAAAAAGAAGCTATACAGTATCAGAATTCAGGGCAATGACAGCACTATTGTCACTTGTGACCAGATGTTTATGTATACACATGTCAGCCCCCTGATAGTGGTAT